GTAGCAGGATGTTAGCAAGGCTCTGGCTGTAGCAGCATGTTAGCAATTCTCTGGCTGTAGCAGGATGTTATTAACGCTCTGGCTGTAGCAGGATGTTAGCAAGGCTCTGGATATAGCAGGATGTTATCAACACTCTGGCTGTAGCAGCATGTTAGCAATGCTCTGGCTGTAGCAGGATGTTATTAACGCTCTGGCTGCAGCAGGATGTTAGCGATGCTCTTGCTGGTGCAGGATCAACCCTCTGACTCTTGTTTCTGCTGGTTTCAGGTTCAGGACCTGGAATTTGCTCAGATCGAGAGAAAAGTCATCGATGGGTTGAAAGTTGGAAACGAGTGTCTGAAGAAAATGCACGAGGTGAGCCGTGTTTCTGTCGTTAGAAGTTTGACCCCAGCTGCTGCACAGAGGCATGATGGGATGTGGTTTACTCCCAACAGGTGATGTCCATTGAAGACGTGGAGCGGATCATGGACGAAACCCAAGACTCCATCGAGTACCAGAGGGTAAATGCTCCTCTGTTGTGTCTGGATGTTTCTTCATTTTCTCTGAACCGTTCGTTTCTAAATGTTTCTCTGCAGCAAATCGATGAGATGCTGGCCGGTTCTCTCACCCAGGAGGATGAAGATGCGGTTCTGGCAGAGCTGGAGTTCATCACTCAGGTGGGTTTGGGTCATCACGCAGACAGAAAAGTGACAAACAGGCAGAGCTGTGATTCTGGTTCTGATCCGTTTCTCTCAGGGAGACATGGAGCTTCCTGAGGTTCCTTCAGAGCCGCTGCCCGAGGCCTCCGAGAAGAAACCAGGTTGGTTTACTTTGATGGTCTGTGACCAGTCAGAGCTCACTGGTCTTATGGGTTCAGGTCCGACTGAGCTCCAGGACAACTTGGGAAGATTTGTTTTAATATATTTATTTTTATTTATTTCAACTGTAAACAATCAAACTATGAATGATTCTCCTGTGCAGCTGTGAAGGAACGGACATGCTTTGAGTCTTGAGAGGTAAAGAATTAAATCTTTTCCTCGTGAGATAATCTGAATAAATCTTCAGATTATCAACATTTTTCATTTAACAAAAAGTTTAATCTGTGAGTGACAAACTGGATCCAGACTTGCTGCTCCCACAGGATCTCACAGGTCCAGGATCAGCCTGATCCTCGTCAGGAGGTTCTGCTTCTCTGAAGCAAACCGGTGTGTTGACACAACACCAAGGTGGAAAGACATCAGCAATGACCTCAGAGAAGCAGCAGCTGCTGCTGCCTGTCAAAAGGTCAAAGGTCGTTTGGAGTCCTTCGTTCCACCAAGAGATTATTTGTGTAAAACATTTAAACAGCTGCTTCACCCTGAAGGTCAGACCGTGCAGTGCCTCTACAGGCCTCAGTCAGCAGGTCAAAGGTCATGCATGACCTCTCTAAAAGCAACATGGCAGCACCTCTTGAGTTTGTAAAGTCTCATCTGAAGGAAGACTTCTGGGACAGAACCAGACCAGAGGACAGATGTTTACCCAGAATGCACTGCAGCACACGCCTCATTCACCTGCTACAAACAGGAAGTGTATATTTTTGGTCCAGATGTGGAAGACCTCAGAGTTAAGAGTGTGTGTTTGTCTGGATTTAACCCTAATTCTCCAGATGTTTGCTTCAGCTGTTCATCCAACATCTGGACCCACATGTTCTGCGCTCGGTTCTGCTCGGTCTCTGTGGACCTGTCAGAACCTCCGCTGAGTGACTGAATGTGTTTCAGTTTCAGAGAAGGATCGAGCCAAGAAGAGGACGGAGCGCGAAGCGCTGGCCGTGTAGAGCCAGAACCGGTCCAGCTGCAGACGTCTCACAGGTCCGGAGACGTACCGAGCTTCCCCCATCACATCTGGCAGCTGCTGCAGGTCCATCATGAAGGCAGAACCGGTTCCAGCAGCACCCTGAGAACCTTAAAGGCCCGCAGCGTCAGATTATTGTGCCTGACTTTGTGTGTTTGCATCGGATCATTTCAGACACGGTGACCAGATTCAACTCGTAGACTAACGAGGTGGAGTCGGGTCCGCTGGACGGGTTCTGTCTTTTGGTTTCAACCCAGAAGAACCCGTCCACAGGAACTGAATCCACCTTGTTACATGTATCTAGCTGGATTATTGAGCAGCAGCAGGACTCCGTTAAATAATCTGGAGGTAAATGTCAAAGGGCCGCTTCACTCAGACTACAAGAGATCCTGACCCGCTCCTTGTTTTATTTTGAAAGTTCTTTTATTTGTGAAAACTGACAGGAAGTGTTTCGTCCAACTCTCAGGTCAAACCTGAACCACTCCGGTGCTTGAATTTGAGTGAAGTGACCCTTTAATCCCTGCGTGATTTAAGATTATAATCTGGTTCCTGTAACAAGTTAAATGAGGGCTCTGCAGCCGCCAGGTCTGACCTGTGGTTCTGACCCGTGGGTCTGACCCGTGGGTCTGCTGCAGGACGAGCCACGTCGGTCTCGGACCAGCAGAACAAACGTGTGACCGGTTCAGAGTCCTGAATCCTCAAGACGTTTTTATCAAACCTGTCAATTCTTCTGAGAATAAAAAGTTTCTTAATGTTTCAGCGTGAAATTAATAAAAAATAGTTGTTTCTTGTTTTAGCCACAAGGTGGCGCCAGAGGAGTTCTGACTGATTTAAAATATATAACCTTTATCTTTTTTATAAGTTTTATTTAATAAGTCTGGACTGAAGACAGACGATGTTCAGTAAAATGTGATTTTAACAAGTATTAAATCATAAAACCTGATCTGACAGAAGTTTCCATAAAACAGTAAAATATAGAGAATTATATTTAAAGAAGACGAGTTTAAAATCAATAAAAGATAAATCTTTACAAAGGAGAAAGTTATTGATGAACCAGACTGATTTCATGTCAAACAATTTTACAGTAAATTACTAAAAGATCAAATCTTTACTCCCTGCAGGTTTTATTTTACAACTTTAAAGTTTATTTATGTAAAAAATGTTTTAATAGAATAAAACTCTAAAGAACTCTTTAAAAGTTTACAACCCGAACACAGAAGTATAATTTCCTAAAGGAGCTCTCATCTCCTGCAGAACCCTGAACCCGACCAGCACCAGCTGTGGCTCAGTGGTTCGAGCAGTCGTCCTCCATTGTGAGAGTTGAGGGTTCGAATCCACCAGCAGTCACATGCCGAAGTGTCCATGGGCAAGACACTGACCGCCTCACTGCCTCTGATGTGTCCATCAGTGTCTGAATGTGATGAAGCTCTGATTAGTCTCTTTAGAATGACTTGTTCAATTATCTTTGTAGAGATCTAGTATAGAGCTGTATGAACGGGTCAGTGAGGCACAGGTTGTTGTAAAGATCTAGTATAGAGCTGTATGAACGGGTCAGTGAGGCACAGG